GCCGGAAGGTAGGGCGGAAGGCCCTCTTCAGCCTGCTTTCAGGAATCGTGGGAATGGGTGGGTGGTGGTTCGGGTGAGAAAAATGAGACGGACGAAATGAAGACAGAAGAGAATGAAAGATTATCTGTGGAATATATTACTTCCTCAGTATTAGCCTAAGTGATCCAAGGAAAACAACAGAAAAACTTGGACCAAGGCAGACGGACCCGGAATCGAACCAGCGTCCTCCCGAATGCTAAGCAATGGTCTAGACCTCTAGGCCATGCCGCTCGGTACTGGTTGGACACGTACCTCCACCCTTTCCTATCCTGAGCTAATCTTCGCATTTCCCTAAAACTAGAGCAGCCCACTTTCTTAACACACTGAGTAGTACAAAATAGAATTTTGTAAGATTTTTTAAAGATTACATTATTAATACACTTTGATCGGCACTTCAACAAAGTTGATGTCATTCTTTGTTCGTTCTGTTTCGTGTAAGAAAAAAATATGTTGTAATACTATTTTGATCCAGGTAAAGACTGTTTTATTATTATACACTTTTTATTTCTTGCAATTGGTGAGAGAACATTAGCTAACTACTGAATTGTTTGATGTTATTTAACAGCTAGGCGTTTGACATCAACTTCTTTCTTCGGTCCCCTAATTTTCTACTACATAAAGCACAACTAATTAGTGTCCTTTTTGTCACCCCAGTTGTTGTTAATTAGCTAACAAGGATAATTGAGATAATAGCGCCTTGTTCTTTAATGTTACTGGAATTTACGTGGTATTAACCGCTGGAAGGAAGAAAGGACACTAATTAGCTAATTGCAGTGTTGTGTAACTATTTATTACCATTAATCGAAATCTATGGTACCGAAAACTAAAAAAGTAAAAATCAATTTAGGTTAGGTGCCCAGCCGTTTAATTAATTTAATGAAACAATTTTGTAATTAACGTTTTCCAATTAAAGCTTGCCAACTGAGCATCACCGTCTAACTAACTGTGGAATAAAAGCAGGAAATTGAACTGTGATACAACCAGTTTTAATTTAAATTTGATTAGGTACTACTAATGGAAGGATATTTGAAAAATCTACACTCCTGAGTCTAGGAGGGAATGCGATTTTGTTTAATTTAAAAAGCCTCTCTCTAAGAAGTATTTCATGTCATGTTTCCATTTAAGAAGAGTAGTGAGAAGAGACTTGTAGATCAATTTTTTATTTTGAAAATTTTAAATACCAATTATATTAGCCGTAGTCAAATCATGTTGGTTTATTCAATTAGACAATTTTTAGAAAAGAAAGATAAAGAACTAATTGATTAAATAAATAAATCAGAAAGATACTCACCCAGAATACGACACGCGTCCACTTCTAATGTGGCAATTACGTATCAGCACGAGACTGACTCTCATGTTAAAATTTACAATTTTTACTGCTTGAATGTTCAAAGTGGGTGCAGTTAATAATTATTAGTATTTAATTTGAACAAAAGAAATAGGGGTATGAAGGCATGATAGAAAAAGGTAATGGGAAAAACTAGACGATTGGAAGGAAAACTTAAGTACTTCTTTAGTAAGAGTCTAACAAAATCAGTGCCTAATCATCGGTTAAAAATGATTTTAACTACTGTATGTTTCAACAAATATGTAAAGAATTTTTTTTAAAAAAAAAAACGTTAATATTGTAGGTTACAATGCCTTAAGGGTCAAATTATACAGGGTGTAACAGTAACAAGTGCCGAGCGTGCAAGAGGTGATACAGCACTATAAAACATGAAAATTATGTAAATGTTTCTATGTCTGAAAGTTCACCGCTACCGAGAAAAAACTCCTTTAAAGAACAGGTAAATTCAATTCCGACCCTGGAACACGAATACGACCCGCAACGTCGCACTCAATCAGCTGGTAAGCACCAACAGCAGTGTAGTATTTGTTTTTTTTTTACTCATGTATTTTGTATTGCTTATTTGTTAGATTAGATTAAGTGAGATTTAAGGTGTTTATGTTAACAGCCAACCTCTAATAGCCAACTTTGTATGAGACAATCGGTGTACAACATCAATCATTATTAGTGCAAGTCAGAATGTCAATATAGAACAGTTGTTACCCGCAAAAAAAAACGTAATGTACCTTGGCAATACTTCAATGGTAGTGTAGAATTTGTCTTAAAAATACAATTATCCAGATGATATTTACCGAGCAATGTCTACGTAACCGACGTTTCTTATTTCTTTTGTGCTCTTAATACACTTTCTTCTTTAACGTATTGTTATCGGGCGCCTAAACATTAT